AGGAAGGGTCTAGGCCCAAAACGTCAGCCTTTCTGCTCCTATGATGCTGCTTGGCCTGCTGTGTTCATCCAGCTCTGCACCTTGTTATCAAGATCGTCTTGATTGGTGGCTCCTTGTCTCTCCCCACCACACCTTTGCTCCCCCTCCTGCAATTGAGCACCAATTGTATATACTGTGTACCTTGGCCTCTTTGCACATGATGGTGCATGGCAGGTGCAGCTGTCCTTAATGTTTGATGTCCTGTAGGCTCAGGGGTGCACCTCCTTGTCCTTGCCATCTCCTTCAGGACAAGGGCCGTCTTCACTTGAACAGCAAAAAAGGGATGACTGAAATATAAGCTCATCAAAACATAATACTTAGAGTTGTCTCAAATATCTCTCCACCAATTTCTTCTGCTCACATGAGCACTAAACGTCTCGCCTTGGCTTTGGACATTTGCTGCACCTGCACTGTTTAGTATCATATATATTATGTGTTTGTGAGGCCTGGTTGCAGATATTAAGGGAGAATCTCACTCATCTTACATTATCAAAGAAGGTCACTGAAGTGCTTAAGGCATTAGATCCAGCTTCTCTGGTGCTGTCCTGAGGCACTGCCCACCTTGGCAATCTTGACCCAGGTTGCCTGGTGGAATTAGGAGTCTTGGCCTGGGGAGCAGCTAGGTATTCCTGTGAGTCAGTTTGGGAGGATGTGCAGGTTATATCCAGAGAACCATGGAGCAGGTCATTCCTGGCATTCTGAGAATCAGCCATCCTGAAATAAAATGATATGAGGAATATCAGACAGTATGTGTGTTGTGATGCCTTTCCTTGCCATGCGGTCATTAGATATAAAACTGCTGCGGGGAGGATATTGTTCTGTGAGTAGCCAGTTAAGGGTTGTTTGCCTAGTCTTTCTCTGTCTTGACAGATGTGGCAGAGCAATGTCCCAGGTCATCAATAATATCAGAGCTGGAAGAGATATTTTGGTTGCTTGAGGTACTTCTTGGCTAGACCAAGCGTTCTTTGGTTTGCTGTATGTATTGAAAATGGAATGTTTTGAGATGGTTGCTTTGGGTGTGAGAGAGTTGGAATTGGTGTGAGAGCTGTAGCAGATAAAGGGTGCTGTTGAAGTGACTAGTAGAGTTTGTGAGCTATTGCAAAAGTTTGAGGTTAACAAGGATTAGGATCGAGAAATCCAGATGTTAGTGTGAGAGATTCAATGATTCTCTACAGGGTATATTGTTAAGCATTACTGAAACATCACCAGCAAGAAATTAAATATTAGCTGATGCCTGGTTTGAGGATTAAGATTGACAGTTAACTGTTCTTGCTGCATCTCAATGCTAATTATGGCCCAGCCAATCAGCACCCTCTTCTCATTCTATGTAAAATGGTGTTTGAGACAATAAGTTAAAGCTTTTCACCTTGGGCTTATCAGGGGTAGGACATAAGAAGCAAACTTGTTAAAAAGGGACCCCAATTTAAATAGCATGAGAAGAGGGTGATAATTTTTGGCAGGGTGGCTGATACTTTCCCTGATTTGGTGCCAGATTAAAACTGGAAAGAAAACATTGTAAGAGGTCATTAGATCTTTGTGGGAATCTACCATCAAGATCAGTAGCAGGTGTTGTTGCATTTGTAATCAATGAGTAATTCATTGTGAAGTATTCAGAAGAAAACAAAGCCAGCTTTCCCCCTACATTAAAACAAATGTTCCTCTATCATGTGGTGAAATAGGACATTGGAATCAACATGGCTGTTTTTGCTGTAGATTGACTGGTGAGGTAAACACAGGTAACCAGATACAAATCTGTCGTTGAAACACCAGGACACAACAGTCGTCCAGAAAAACAGAATATTGAGTATTGGTCACACTCCCAGGCTCATACACAGCTGCCAAACAATGAAAGAAAAGCTTACAATTAAAAAGCACCTTTCACAATGTCATAAAGAGCTATACAACTGATGAAGTATTGTTTGTAATCTAGTTCCTGTTGTAATTTAAGAAACACCTTTACTACATCGAATGACTAGACAACCTGATGTTGATTCAGCGATTAAAATTTTGGCTATGACACTAGCACAAACTCTCCTGCTCAGCTTTGAAATAGTGCCATGGGATCTTTTATGTCCATCTGAGAGGGCAGGCACAGCTTCAGTTTAATACCTCATTCTAAACACAACTTCCTTTCAGTGCTGGTCTGAAGTGTGAACCTTAAATTTTGTTCTCAAGTCTTGGAATTCAAGGTAGTCTTTGAACAATTATGAAGAATGCAATGCGTTAAGAACTTTTGTTTGGAAATGTCTTCATAGGGATGCCTGCGTTTGCAGCAGTTTGTCCTGCCTCTGAGTCAGAGGACTGTGAATTAAGTACATGCAGCAAACTCAGACATCCCTATGAAAACATCTCCATACAAAAGATTTTAACACATCGTGTTCTTCAGAATCATTCAAAACCTGTTTTGCAGAGAGCTGCAGCATACTGGCCCCCAGGGAGAAACTGTAACTAAAACAATTGAGACGATCTGTGTTGATTAGGGGAATAAAATGTCCTTTCAACATCACCTCCAACCCCACCATTTGTGGTTTTAATTGAGGCAGCTCAGAGAACAAACTGTCAAAAAGGTGTGGTGGTATTTTAAACTTGATAATGAATTTAACTGTTGTCACCTGAGTTCAACGAGCTTTGGAAACCTGGCACCAACTTCCTCTCAAGAAGAGGGAGGATCCAGGTGGTGAGTGCCTTTACAGCAACCTATTAGATCCAGCGTGTATGCTGAGGGATCAGAAAATATTAGACAACCTCACTCCCAAAGTTTCTGGAGGCCACTCCATGGATATAACATTGTCTCCATGCACAGAGACTTCATTCATTCGAATTCAGGTCACTCCCACATGTCACGAGTTGTTCTCTGGTTTCTTTCACAGGCTTTCAATTCTCATCAGAGTCTCCAATTGCCCCTTCTTGATATCAAGAGTGCTGTAGGTTCATAAATTTGACCACAAAACTTTATTCTAGATCTCTGATGTTATAAATCAATCTGGTGTCTAGCTGCGAAACTATCAAAAATCTCATATGCATGTGGCTAAAATGCCACTTTGTATGGCAAAACCTTGTTCCAATATCCCATTATTTTACCCGTTCACTTCTAGAGGATCAGATAAGTAAATATTCAGTGGTAAGTGGATTGATACAAATGACTCCAATGAAGGAAAGAGCTTTTATTTAGACTTTTCCTTTCATGTCCTTCAGAATGTTAAAACAAAAATCTTCTGCTAAATATGGTTGAAATGTGGTGACTGTAATGGAGGAAAATATACTTTTTATTTCAAATTTCAAGTGACTCCAAACCCACAGCAATGTGATTTACCCTTCACTGCCCTTCCAGGCAGCAAAGAGATGCTGGCCTCGCCAGTGATGTCCCCATCCTGTGAGAAAATTTAAAAAAAAATTGTTCTCCATTGTTTATTAAAAAGCAAAACATAGATACCCATTAACTGACTTTCACCAAACAAAACTTAGAGGAACTACCTGCAGAAATCAAAATTAATTATATGACAGTAATTAGCCACATGAAATTTGGAGCAATAATTTAAAGCAGACAAAAGTTATTATTGTTGCAATGATACAATTTTGCACAGGGAAATATATTGCATTATGTTAGCCATCGCCTGGTATGTATGCATTATAATTAAATCATAATTCAAGATATGAAATTTAAATTCAGGTACTCCTTTTGCTTTGATAACTCTTTCAAATGTATTTCAATGTAATGATATTTGATATTCTTTGTTTCTACTTTTGAATTTATAGTTTCTCCATATTACAATCAAATCCTTTACGAAGCAAAATCTGCTTTCAACGAAGTTGCGAAATTCGTGTGAATACAACAACAGCACAGACAACAACAACTAAAAAAGGTTTCTGAAGAGGGTTAGAAATGACCTTAAAACAGTCACGAACAGCAACTGCATTAACAAGCCTGCAGAAATTTTACTAATTGCATTACTGCCAATAGAATGTCATAAATTGAATGAGAAAAAGTCAATAGCAAAATATCAGCAGTATAATCATCAATTGGCCTAAAAGTTCTCAGCTTTAGTTCAACGTTAGATCAGCTCTTGTCAGAAGGACACTGGTAATATGATGCTGATGTATATGGAGTAATTAACACATTATATTAACTAAACATCCTAGCTGGAATACAAATTTTCTTCCAATTGACCTCAATTCCGGATTATATTTTGCCAACTTCCAGGATACAACCAGCTAGAAACTATTTTCTTATCGCTCCTGCCTGCAGCTCACCACCCAAGAAGTCCTTTCAGTAGGCTCTCAGAATTTTGAGCCATTCCATTATGTGGCTTTCTGGTTGCAAACTGTGTCCTTGGGCCGCTGCCAATCAGCCTAATCATCCTGACATCAGAAACAGATCCTGTTACGAGACCATTAAGTCGCAATGATATATAATTAACTCCGCAGCTTCATCTTTCTACACCAGGCCAGAAGGGC